TTGTTTTCTATGGGTGGAGGCGGCTAGCCCAAAACAACCCCACCATTATCAATGATTATCTTGAGTTGGAACTGTCGAGGGGTTGGGCGCCCCAAGGCAGTTTAGGGACTCAGGGATTTTTCCAGTTGCATCAACCTCGATTTTATCTTCTTATGCGAGACAAAGATCCCTGAAGATAAAATTAATCGATTAACAAATACCTTACGTTATCCTAACTGTATCACTGCCAACCTTGAAGGACAAGCAGGAGGATTAGCAGTCCTCTGGAAAGCGAGGTATCATGTTTCTTTTTTGTCTTCTTCTGCCAAGTACGTGCTGCTTCAAGTTCAAGACTCTTTTTACTCTTGGATTCTAGGTTTTATTTATGGTCCACCAGTTAAGCACCATATAAATAAATTTTGGCATGATCTTAATTGTTATTTTCAACAAACTTCTTTACCATTTGCTTTAATTGGTGATTTTAATGAAGCAACTTCTCTAGATTCTCTTGAACCTTCTACTTCCTTCAATATTTCAAATCTCTCTTCCAGACAATATTGAAACTTCACTATAGATTGCAATCTTCTAGAAATAAATATTCAGGGGGGAGGTATTTCTTGGACAAATAAAAGACACACTAGTCATATTCAGAGAACCCTGGATAGGGTAGTTGTCTCTCCTGATTGGTTAGCAACTTACCCGAATGCTACTATTGCCTTAGAAACTAAGTGGGGTTAGGACCATCACCCTTTAATATTCCCCTCCTTTAGTTAACCTTCCTAAACCTTTCTGCTTCTTAGAAATGTGGTTAGATGATAACTCTTGTAAACAATTAATAGAGGATGGTTGGAATCTTTCTATAGCAGGCCAAGCAACTTACAGGATAACCAAAAAACTTGATTCTTTGAAGCAGAATCTTATCACCTGGAAAAAAAACACATTTTACTTATCCAAAATTAAAGCTCAAACAATTAGAGGATCAGAATATACAAGCAGAACAATAGGAAGATTATTCAACTTTTATTAGCCTGTATAGAGAGTATGACCATGCCAATATTCAATTGGAGAGCTTTTGGCGACAAACTTCCTGTCAAACCTGGCTGCATTTGGGAGATTGATATACAAAATTTTTTCATAAGAGTACCCTTTTTCATCGGAAGAGGAACTATATTAAAGGAATAAAGGATTCTCAGAATGTTTGGAAGACTGATCTCGGCGATATCCCACATTTTTTTGGACTATTTCTCTACTTTTTATTTTAGTCAAGACCCTTCCAATTTGGAAATCCTAGATGAGGTGATCATCCCAATTGTGACAGAGATAGAAAAATAGCATGTTGTTATCCATTCCTACTGTAGATGAAGTCAAATCAGCCGTATTTAGCATAGGAAGTTTAAAATCCCTAGGGTCAATGGCATGCCAACCTTGGTCTACAAGGACTTTTGGGATCTGATGGGTCCAAATTTAGTTCTTATGGTGCAGGAATTATTTACTAATAAAAAACTCCTTAAAAGGGTGAACCATACTTTTATCTGTCTCATTAAAAAAAAAGTAGACTGTACAAAGGTTCAGGATTTTAGACCAATCAGTCTCTATAATGTCACATACAAAATTATAACAAAAGTCATAGAAAACCGACTTCGTACTATTTTAGATAAATGCATCTCCCCAAACCAGATGGCTTTTGTACCGGGATGCCAAATGGCAGAAAACTCAATTGTCATTCAAGAACTATTCCAATTTTTAAGGCACAAAAAGAAAGGATCTGGCTATGTTGGCCTAAAATTGGATATGTCTAAGGTCTATGACAGGCTAGAGTGGAGATAGTCCCTCTTAGGATTCTCAGAAGACTTGTATCTTTTGATTAAGGAGTGCATTTCTTCTATCTCATTTTCTATCCTCATCAATGGAACATCAGAAGGTCACTTCTACCATTCTATAGGGATAAGACAAGGGGATCCGCTTTCTCCGTACCTCTTTATTTTAGCTATGCAAGGCCTTTCTAGACTTCTCCATAAAGTTGAAGAGGAAAATAAAATTCAAGGGCTCTCTATCTCTCCTTCGTCTCCCAAAATTTCCCATTGTTTCTTTGCTGATGACAACATGCTTTTTATCAGAGCTCATAGTGAAGAAATTGACAATCACAACCAGATTCTAAATTCTTTCCAAGCTATCTCTGGTCAAGTGATTAATTTGGAAAAATCTGGTGTTTATTGTAGCAAAAATGTCCACCCTCGAGTTCAAAAACTAAATAGAAGACAAATCAGAATGAAGCCTTTGCCAGAGAACATTAGACATTTAGGGCTTCCCCTTTTTTGGTCAAGGAGCAAACATGCGTAGCTAACCTTTATCCTAGACAACCTTAAAGCAAAGTTAAATAGATTGAGGGCAACAGCCATCAGCCAAGCAGGGAAACATGTGCTTATCCAATCAGTTCTCCAAGCTACCCCTATCCATGCTATGTCTCTCATAAAGTTCCCCAGGAAAACCATAGACCAACTAGAGATGACTTTTAGAAAATTCTGGTGGGGTATATCTAATGAAAAGTCTCATCCCTATTGTTGGTGTGTTTGGCACAAATTAACCCTTCCAAAGACTGTAAGAGGATTAGGACTCAAGAATCTCACTCTTTTTAATCGGAGTCTTTTACAAAAAGTAGTCTGGAAATATATTAACGAATAGCATAAACTCTAGGCTCAAATATGGAATTCCAAATACCTGAAAAACAAAGGTTTGTTTCCTTCCTCTTTTCTTTCAAAATGGTCAATTTACTAGAAATCCATTAGTCCGGAACTTATGAATTTAGCCTTAGAATGTGGTGCTTTAGTCAATGAAAATTCAAACTTCCCACTCTGTCAGCGGCCCTAGATCCAAAATAATCATACCTTTTCCTGGATCCCCTTCCCTCTAGCCCCAAGTATAAGACATGAATATTTCCCATCTAATCCATCAAGGCCGATGGAATATTGACCTAATTAACTCCTTATTCTCCTCTATTGAGGCATAGCACATTTTGAAAACTCCTATTTACCCAAGCTTAAACCTAGTAACCTGGATATTGCTACCTCACTCTGGCAAATTCACAACAAAACAAGAATATCAAAATAAAATTTCTGCACTATCCTCCCATTTCTCACCACAATTCAACTTCTGTCTCAAGCAAATTTGGAAACTAAATATAGTACCAAGGTTTAAGCTGTTTTTGTGGCGAGTAATTAATGATTTTGTACCTGTAAAAGAAAAACTTTGTATGGAGGATAATAAAAAAACCTGTGTCTTCTATGAGTTTGAACTGGAATCAGCTGTTCACTTATTTCTAGATTATTCTTATACCCAATATGTTCTATTTGGAAACCCCTGGAATATCAATTTTATCAGCAACTTTCAAAATTCTTGGGTAAATAGTATCCATAACCTTTTTCAGCATGTAAATGTGATAATAATTTAGCTAAAAGGATTTTGAGTTGGCTAGCAATTGCTTTGGTTTGCTAGGAATGAGAAGTGTTTCAGAGAGAGATTGATCCAGCCTTAAAATCTCCTCATCAAATAAACCATACTAACACTTGGTCAATATCCACCCAAGACAATATTCCCGATGCTTCTCTTGGAAACAACTTTGATAAATACCAGCTTACAATTAAAAATGGTATAAAGCTTGTTATTTTTCTGATGCAGGGAAGATCTCTGACACTTTATACAACTTTGGATTTATAGTTCTTTCTACGAATTTAACCTGCTTGAAAATTGTTGGTGGCAGAACTGATAAAGTATCTTCTGTGGTGCAAGCTGAAATGTATGCTATAATGCAGGTTCTTTTAGAACTCTCCAGCTGGCTTTGTCAATGTGTATATATTGTTTCAAATGCTAAACAGGTGGTTGATGCGCTTCAAAGGCAATCAAAAGTTCCCTGGACCTGCCTCTGGCTTTTGAACAGGATTAGGATCTTTTCCTGTATTAACTTCTCTTTCGTCTATCGCAACTTTAATGTACTTGCCCATAAGGTATCCCGACTAGCAAAAACTCACATTTTGTCCTCTTTTTCTTTCTCTTCTTATCCAAGCAAGATACCTAGGGTAGAAGACTTTGTAAATATTGTTTCCTCATAATATTATGCACCCTTTAAAAAAAAAAGAAAGAGGTGATCAAATTGAGACGATTGCTAAATAGGAGTAATTTTGAAAAAGGGGTTAAGGGTTGCTCTATGGCTATGGCTAGAGAGTCTTTTAATGCATATATGGCTGATTAGACTAAATAAATATACAATGTAATGTGCTGCAAACAAAGTGGATATCCTAGAAATTAGGAAAATATTTCCAAGACACATAAAAAGAACAATAAAACCAAGGGGGAAACTTGATTCAAAATAAAATAATTGCACTGAGTAATTCATTTGGATTAAAACAAATTTGGAAAATAATTGCACTGGTAATCCTATTACCAGCTCTTTGCAGTCTCTTTTGGGAACCTCTCCCGTCATTTGTGGTGGATTGGAATTGTGTTTATCTACTTCTGTTGGTGATTTAATTCACATTTGTTTGATTGCAGAAATTTGTTATGTTTTCCTTCATCCATTTATATATTTTGTTCTTTTTGAGAAATTGTATCTGGATTCTGATTGGCCTTATTGGCAATTCTCTTTACTTGTATCAATTTCTTGAATAAATGAAATATGCTTCAAGTCTTAAAAAAAAACTACGCCAAAGTATAATGTATTGGTATGTAATTTACCCTATTTTTTCGGGATGGTTCAATTTGGGACTATTTTTTTAGGCTAGGTTTGGAAAGAGTGCAAATACAAATACAAATAAATACAAAATAATAAAAAAATAAAGATTTTGCATTCCACATATTTATATTTTTTTCCACAAGAACATATTTTTATTTATTCCAAAGTGAGCCTGAATACAAATTGCAAAACCTTGTATTTTGTATGTATTACCACATATTTGTATCTGTATTTTTTCCAAACCGAGCCTTAAGGTTACGAACGTCTAACATCGCTTTCCCGCGCCCGGTGGTGGGATAACTGCTTGGAAACTTGAGAACTATACACTTATACACGGTTTGAATGCTCGGTCTTATTTCATAATTCATAAGGTTTAAGTAGGGTTTAGGTTTTGCTTGGAAACCCAAAGACATATTCGATCGTTCGATCTCTTCGTCCTCCATGAAAAGTATCTATCGAGCATTTGCGGGAGTACTTTCTTCTCCTTCAACAAAGAAATGGTTGCTTCACCCTATTGTTGTTCAATCGTCGGTTTACTCGACGACGTCAATGAAGCAGAAATCCACCAGAAAACCGAAGTCTGAACCATCGACTTCTGAATCGGATCATAAAGAGTTTTACACCGTCCCCAAACGCCCTGAGAAGGAGGAAACTAATTGGCCCAGACCGAGCGAAATACCCTGGCAGGCGAAGGTTGCCAATTCGGTGAACCTGATTGGCTCCGTCGCGATGCCAGTTCATTTTCAGGCGTCTCCCGATGGCAAGTACTGGGCTGGGACTATAATCAAACAGGAGAAAACGTTGGATCTTCCTTTCCTATGGTACGATGTTTCCTGGTTGTTTCCATGTAGTTTCTTTAGTTTGAAAATACTTTTTTCGATGTAATTATTAAAAAAAAACTGTTTTCGATGTGTGCCGTCAGGTTTTGTTTTGGTTTGTTGTATAATAGAATGGAAGTACGGTAGAACATAGTTTTGAATTTTGAGTTTCGGTTAACTTGCATACAAAATGCAAGTAGTCTGACTTTATCAGTTTTGCGAAATGTTTTGCAATGAATGGAAGTTCTAGCTCCGTTATTGCTTGGTGTTGGGGAGTGGGACTTGAAACTTAGGAGTTTAGTACTGAAATCTCTTGTAACTGGTCTATTGATGATTGATGAACTGACCGTCTTTTGTTGAGGTTTGAATCTGAGAGCTACTGGAAGGATGAAGTTTGCATAAGGTATAAGTCATGTCTACTTTTCTTCCATCCTACCCATGCAGAACATCTTCAATAGCATTTCATCTGAGGTTGATCTGTACCAAGTATAATTTTGAACTTATCATGGTCAAGAATTCCATTTATCACTTCTGCAAATTAGTTTGATTTGGTAGAGGAGATTTTTATGGTACAATTTATAAACTTGTAGAGGGGCCATTGCTTGTTGTAATGGTAGCATCTTGGTCTGACAAGTGTGGGGACAAGGATTTGAGTCTTAGAGTGGCTACTTTGTGAAAAAAAGAGAAAAATGCCAAAGGTTAGGTCCTTCTCTAGTCTACTCCTCTCTAGATCCTAGATGGCTGGGACAAAGACCAACATTGGGTAATGACCTTTTTGTTATACAAACTTGGAAGGACTAGCAACTTGGAAATGTGGGTATTTATCATTGAGAGGTAGGATCACATTTAAGCTTGGTTTAAACCAATGCCCCTAAGCATAGGTGCCTTCTATTGGGAAGTGTGTCATGGGAAGGTTAGCACTTTAGATATTCTGCAAAAAAAGATGACCATCTCTTTGCTTATCCCCAAACTAGTGTATTCTTTGCAAATCCAACAGTGAGAATTACTACTACTTATATATATCTTGTTCTTTTATTGCAGACATTTGGGAATGGTTTTTTCTTTATTTGGGTGCAGGTGGAATTTGCCAATGGAGGTTAATGGTCTCTTTGATCCCTTTTCTGTAGTATTCCTCAGAAAAGGGGAAGGATTATGTGAAGATTCAATCAAGTAGCATTGATTTGGACTATTGGGGAAGAGGGGAATGCAAGAATTTTTCTTGAAAGGGGTGGTGAAAGATTGTTTGTCGACTTGGGCTATTCATTAGTAGGAGGTGCTGTTTGTTTCTATTTTTGGGCTTGTATAGAGATTATTATCTAGGGCTTGGGGTTGTCTAGTTTGTCTCTTGTGTTTGTTTTGTTTTCTGATTTTCCATTGACTTGGGTTGTAAAGTCTGTATAGACTTTGAATACTTCTTTTTTAAGCAAGAAGGGGGATGTGGACGCAAGAAGGGAGAGACAATCTATCAGTGCTATGAAGTTATAAATGGTGCTGTAGTGTGGAATTGGATTGGGAGGTGAAGTGTGTGGGGCTGCTGTCAAAGTTGCAAGAGGTGGAGGTGGATGCTCTACTTCTAGATTCAAAATTGTGGAAAGAATGCAAGAATGGGAAGTTCTCAGTCATGTTTCTTTATAATGCATTGCTCAGAAATCAGGTGGTGCCTAATTCAATCAAAGGTATTGAGGGAAACCTGTTCCTCCAAAAGTGGATGCCTTTACTTGGCTGATATCAATGGGCTGTATCCTTACTCAAAGACAATTTGAAGAAAGGGGGCTTTCAGTTCCCTAGTAGATATGTGCTGTGCAAAGTTGATGAGGAGAAAATCATGCATTTGCTGGTTCAGTGTAGGTATGTAAGAGGTATTTGGGCCTACTTTTTCAAGCTCTTCAATATGGCTGGTTGGGTGCCCAATGATTATGAGGAGATCTTTGGAAGTTGGCCAAGAGTGTATGGGAACACCAAAGCTATGGAGCTGTATTCCTTTTGTTGTGTGTTGGGTGGTGTGGAAGGAAAACAAGAGAATCTTCGAGGACAAAATGAAAAGTAATGAAGAGTTAGGGGCATTGATCAGCTCAAGGATTATCGACTAGGTGTTACTGTGAAAATTAGATCGAGAAGAAGGAGAAGAAGAAAAGAAAAAAGAGTTGATCAGGTGTGTCTATTTGATTCCTACACCTAGCAAAGGATCATTATATTAAAAGATAAAATGACTATTCTGCCCTTAATATACAAAAAGTGTACAACCAATGTACAAGTGGTGTACAACTATACAAGGGAAAAATGATAAAACTAACCCTCCTCTATCTTTACACTCACCCTAAAATTAATGTTGAGGAATAAGCATCTATTTTCCAAAAAAAAGTGTGATGGGCCCGTGACATAGCCTTTGTAAGCAGATCTGCAAGCGAAAGCCCAAAAGAGACATGAGGAAGGAAAATGCATCTTGTAAGGAGATCTTTGATAGAGTGACAATCCATTTCAATATGCTTCATCTACGCATGGAAAACAAGATTGGACGCAATCTTGATAGCACTAAGATTGTTATTAAAGAGAGGGACTGGAGACAACAACTCAAAATGAAGTTTATGGATGAGAGCTTCTCCATGAACAGATCTAAAGCACCAGGGCTGGACGGTTTCACAATGGCTTTCTTTCAAGATTGTTGGGACATAATCAAGGAAGACTTGATTGAGGTCTTCAAGGAATTCAAGGATAATTCAGTGATTAGTCGTGGAGTTAACACTACTTTTTTAGCCTTAATTCCCAAGAAGAAAGAGGCCAAGCATCCAAAGGACTTTCGACCTATTAGTTTGGTGACTAGTGTATACAAGGTTGTGGCTAAAACTGAATGGGAATCCCCATCGGATGGAGTGGTAAAACTGAATTTTGATGGTAGCTGCCAAGGTAACCCAGGGCCATTTGGAATAGGAGGGACTCTGAGAGACAAAGATAGCAACATGCTGTCTTTATTTTCAGGACCAGTGGGTGTTGGTGATTCTGTAAGGGCAGAGATACTAGCAGCGGTACAAGGTATACAGATGGCCAGTCAACTTGAAGTGAATAATTTGATAGTAGAAGGGGATTCCAAGGTAGTAGTGGGCCGGTTGACAAGTCCAGAAACAACTTGTTGGGGCTACAGGGATCTGTTAAAGAAAGTTAAATGGATGACAAGGAATATGTTAGTCAGGTTTCAGTGGGTCAGTAGATCAGCAAATGCAATGGCTGATTCTTTGGCCAAGCAAGGGGTGTCAAGGGGAGATCTGTTTTGGGCCACTTTGTAATTGTGTTTCAGGCTTGTGTTTGTTTAGTGTTTATGACTCAGTCCTAGGGGGAGGTAACACCTCGTGCCTCTTCCTAGGCTAAATGTACTACTATTTTTGAATTAATAAAACTACTCGTTTATAAAAAAAAAGGGTTATGGATGAGAGCTTGGAGCTATACAATCTCATTACAACCTGAGGACATGGCTGTATTCTTAGATTCAGTTGAAAATTTAGAGATTTGTGATTGTTTCTTACCAGAGGTGTAAAAAGGGTCATGCTTCCTACGGCCCGACACGGCCTGACCTAACTTTAGACCGGCTCGGTACGACCAAGCGGGCCATGCCGCCCGCGTGCCAGCACGACCTAGTTGTGGCCTGACCAGACACGACCCACCACGACCCATATATACTATTAATATATATTTATATATTTTATATATTTATATATATAGTATATATAATATATTATATAAATTATAATTATATAATAATGTATAGTATATAATATATTAATAAAATAAACAATTGTTTTCAATTTTATTATACTAATTTATTTAATTATTATATATATAAGCAATTGTATACATCAAAATTCATATAAAATTAAAATTTTAAGTTTTTTCAATTTTTTTTAAATAAGTAGGCAAAAATATCTTTGGCCCGGTCCATGGCTTGGCTTGGGCCAAGGCTTGGCCCACGGGCCATCCCGACACGACCCCCAAACTTTGCGCGGGCCGGCACGGGCTTGGGCTGTGCCGGGCCGACCCCAAACTTTTCACTGGGGAGGACGACATGGCCCGTGACGGCCCACACTTTGCACGGGTTGCTCGCGGGTCGTGCCGTGCCGGCCCGACACGACCCACTTTACACCTCTATTTCTTACATTTCACTGAAACAAGAAGAGTCACCCAAGAAGATTCACCAACCAATAGTGGACCGCTTGGTGTTAGGACAACAAGCCCAATCAACATCAGCAAAGCTAGAGAGCTGGAGAGATGATGAGGATGGGAAGAACAATATTTGATAATATGTTACACAGTAGGTAAATGTGGTTGCCTGGAAGAAACAAATGGGCTTACAACTTGCACTGCATAAAAGATACCTGAACCATCATTGTAAGGTAAATGAGGCTGCCCACTAGTTTATGATAGAGGGTAGGATCTTTGAGAAGAGGACCATCATATTTACTCAGCTTCAAATTAAGCTCCAAGGTAGTATCAACCAATATGGAATCTGTTAGGTGAGCCATCGATATAAGATCTGTTGCAAACTTTTGTTGGTAAACAAAGTAACCATGAGAGTTACAAGTCACCTCGAAGCCCAAGAAGTAGGTTAAATAGCCCAAGTCCATCTTTGAAGGGTTCACCCATCAACTGCTTCTAATGCATGATTCCCTTCTTATCATTCTAGTGATGATAATATTGTCAGCATACAAGAGAAGTATAGCCACTCCACTGTATAAAGCCTGCATCAGTAATGACAGAAGGGAATCTATCAAACCAGGCTCTTGGAGCTTGTTTAAGGCCATATAGAGATTTCTTGAGACGACAAACAAGATGAGAGTTATCATAATACCTAGGAGGCTTCATGTACACAACCTCCTTCAATTCCTCGTGAGGAAAGGCATTCTTCACATCTATTTGATGAATCACCGGTTGTTTAATTGTAGAGATATACAAAAGTAATTGGACTGTTGTCATCTTTGTTACTGGTACAAAAGTCTCTTCATAATCTATCCTAT